GCGTCCTAAGCTACGCAGCGTTGAGTGAACCTATGAAAGAGAACGTCTCTGGTTACTGGTGTAACCTATGTTCTCTGAATAGGGAACGAGACGCTGCGTTCGCTGCCAAGCTCCTTGCGCTGCCGACAAGCTCCTTTTTCGGCAGAGAAATCTGAGGAGCAGATGGCGCGCGCGCTAATATAATGTGACGACGCAAGAGCGTCGGGGCGGCGCCCGCGCCATCAGCCAATGAATTGGCGTGATTCTATAAGGGCTTCAGACAATCGGCACACCCAGAGGGCGTTCCCACTGCGTCCTAAGCTACGCAGCGTCTCGTTCCCTATTCAGAGAACATAGGTTACACCAGTAACCAGAGACGTTTTATAATGTGAATGAATAACAGTTCTTTTTTTACCACCAAGACTAATTTCTTCTGAAAGCTTTCTACAAATCCTTTTCCTCTTCTCTTTTTTCTGTCAGCTGGATTAAATGGCATGAACCATACTTTCAAAGGATGCGCAAGCCAAAACATCTGTAATAACAGTGCACTAGTGACCAGTACACTAGTACACCCAGGAGTAAACATGTTTTCTTTTTCATGTCTTGAAGCAAATAATATGACACAGGGACCTGTTTCTGCTGGTACCAGTACTTTTTTCCATCTGAAATCTGTTTCAGGAGGTTTTCTTTTGGTTTTATTAGTGTTTGGATGCTCAGTTTTGTCAATGTAAAGCAGTTTCAAGCTTTTCTGATTAATTGAGGGAAATGTATTTGTTGAAAATGATCACCTGTGTAATAAGTGTGCTGTTCTGTTTCTAATCAGGAATTTAATCATGTAAAATAACCATTTATTAACAGTTACTTTATTAGCAGTCTTATTAAACACTAACATTTGAATGATCAAAATCCCTCGCTATATTCTTGTCGATGTGCAGAATAATTAGAAAGAGAGAAAAGTAACAGGGATTAATAATTTCATATTGACGAAAGTTGAATTACAGCACATTTTCACTGTTACATGAGCCCATACACTTTAGGTGTGCTTTGTACACTCACCTAAAGGATTATTAGGAACACCATACTAATACTGTGTTTGACCCCCTTTCGCCTTCAGAACTGCCTTAATTCTACGTGGCATTGATTCAACAAGGTGCTGAAAACATTTTTTAGAAATGTTGGCCCATATTGATAGGATAGCATCTTGCAGTTGATGGAGATTTGTGGGATGCACATCCAGGGCACGAAGCTCCCGTTCCACCACATCCCAAAGATGCTCTATCGGGTTGAGATCTGGTGACTGTGGGGGCCATTTTAGTACAGTGAACTCATTGTCATGTTCAAGAAACCAATTTGAAATGATTCGAGCTTTGTGACATGGTGCATTATCCTGCTGGAAGTAGCCATCAGAGGATGGGTACATGGTGGCCATAAAGGGATGTACATGGTCAGAAACAATGCTCAGGTAGGCCGTGGCATTTAAACGATGCCCAATTGGCACTAAGGGGCCTAGTTTGCCAAGAAAACATCCCCCACACCATTACACCACCACCACCAGCCTGCACAGTGGTAACAAGGCATGATGGATCCATGTTCTGTTTACGCCAAATTCTGACTCTACCATCTGAATGTCTCAACAGAAATCGAGACTCATCAGACCAGGCAACATTTTTCCAGTCTTCAACTGTCCAATTTTGGTGAGCTCTTGCAAATTGTAGCCTCTTTTTCCTATTTGTAGTGGAGATGAGTGGTACCCGGTGGGGTCTTCTGCTGTTGTAGCCCATCCGCCTCAAGGTTGTGCGTGTTTTGGCTTCACAAATGCTTTGCTGCATACCTCGGTTGTAACGAGTGGTTATTTCAGTCAAAGTTGCTCTTCTATCAGCTTGAATCAGTCGGCCCATTCTCCTCTGACCTCTAGCATCAACAAGGCATTTTCGCCCACAGGACTGCCGCATACTGGATGTTTTTCCCTTTTCACACCATTCTTTGTAAACCCTAGAAATGGTTGTGCGTGAAAATCCCAGTAACTGAGCAGATTGTGAAATACTCAGACCGGCCCGTCTGGCACCAACAACCATGCCATGCTCAAAATTGCTTAACCCGCTGAACCCGACGGCATCGTCCACGACGCCACACGACTCCTCCGATAAATATTTATATTATTTGATGAAAATTTGATCGATTTTCTTACCGTTTTTTGCAGCAGAAAGCTAACGAGCTAGCCGTCACGGGGGTGTCTTTCGTGTCTTTCTAGCCTTTACAGAAGGTTTTCTATCCAGCCTGGAACTTGTGCGTCCTTTCAGAGTGTTTCAGCAATAAATCCAAACGCTTATATCCAAGTTTTATCGACTTGATGTCCATAATTTATACATTATCCGTCATTTTTGCCGCTAGCTCGATGCTAGCTGCCATTTTGGATAACACGTCATGCGTTGCGTGAGGTTGTTGACCAATGACAGGCTGATCCGTCATCCACGTTGGTGTGCGTCATTACGCATGAACCAAGGCTGATATTGTGGAGAGAGAGACGCGAGTTTTGAATAATGGATCGTCAGATTGAGAAACATGGATCTAAATCAAGCGCTGGTCTTTTTTGATCCCATGGAGGATAATGGATTTTCTGGAGAAAAGAGCTTTTTGACTGATGAGGAACTAGATTACCTGGATGGTCTTAGACCCTGCTGAAGAATAAGTTCCATTTATTTATTTACTGTAAAAGTGAATATCACTATTCTATGATATATCAATATCATATTATCACTAATATGATAAAATATACATTTTCTTAATATGTAAAAATAAGTTCTGTAAAAGTAGTATTTCGTTTTTCTATGTTTGTTACAGAGTTGTGGATTACACTTTGTCTGCCATAGTTTGTCTGTAAAAGTATATAAAAAAAAACTAATATAATAAAATATACATTTTCTAAATATGGTCAAACAGGCCACCCCCTGGAAATGCAAAGCCTGTGATGTGGCCCTCTGTGTGATTCCTGATAGGAACTGTTTTGAGGCTTGGCATCAGTGAATTTCATGAGGCCCAAAACGCCTGGACTTCTTTTGGAAAAATGTAAATAGTTTTGGTTCTGTTCAAGTTATAATGTTTATTCCTGTGCTCCAGGACTCCAAAGACATGAACAAACTGTTTTCCAGAGGACATTTGCTTAGCTTTTATTTATTTGTGTGTGATTTCAATAAATGTTTGAGTGATTCAATTTCCGTTTTATTTTTTCATTTGTCTTTGTGGTCCCATAACTTATTTTACATTCAGGTGACATCAATGCAACACAAATATGCTGAAAGTTCAATTTGTCCTGAAAAAAAAGAGGTGTGTCAATTGTCTGTGCACAAAAGGGTTGATGTTTTACAAGCTTTTTTAGTAAATAACACCAGACGGAAAATTTATTTTAAAAATACCCTTAGGTCTCAGAGGGTTAAATCACCTTTCTTTCCCATTCTGACATTCAGTTTGGAGTTCAGGAGATTGTCTTGACCAGGACCACACCCCTAAATGCATTGAAGCAACTGCCATGTGATTGGTTGATTATATAATTGCATTAATGAGAAATTGAACAGGTGTTCCTAATAATCCTTTAGGTGAGTGTATATTTTTTATAGTAGTATTTTGAAGATAAATAATACACTTATAGATTGCATTTTGAGGACACAGTAAGAGATCATATGAAATTAGGTTTGTGATTTAATAAAATGAAATGATAGATTAGTTAACAATTAACATAATTTATCAAGCAGTACTTTAATGCTGATAATATAATGAATGTCAAGTCGAGTATTCAAGCCCCTTCATAACTATATAATATAACATGTTATAATATATTATAATATAATAGTGTGGATAATATATTAGCATATTTTTATTTGAAACAAAATAATAATAGTACCTTTGGACAATTTAACACCATTATATATGTCAAAGAAAATATGGTATTATGATAAAACATTAGAAGAACAAAAAGGTTTGCTATGAATAAGTTGAAATATGTTTTTCATTAAATCAGATACCATAAACTAATGTTAAATTAAACACAAGGAAATATAAATATTGACCATTTGCATCATTGGTTCTATATTAAAGGGGTCATCGGATCATTCTTTAGGGTCTTCGTGTAAAGTTTGTAATATACTTTGGTTAAAATTCCTCACGGCTTGATTATTAAGTGTTTATGCTTTTTGAGGATTAAAAAAATGAGTGAATGGATTTTTGTCATTGTATGTTGGCTGTGTCCACACACTGTAAAGACGCATCTATATGCAAACACCATATCAAAGTGAATTTTGCATCCGATGACCCCTTTAAGCTATTATGTAGTTTACAATTTGAAAAGACAGTTGGAACATTTTGAGGGTTATATGACAAAACATATTTTAAGATTAGTAATCAAAATACCCTGCATGTTGGTCTATAAATTTTCATATCACAAACAAATGTATATGCATGTAAATACAACCAAAAACATTGCCATACATAATTCTGCACATATGATTCCATAGAATTATGCAGAATTGCATGGTTAAGAGTTTCTCTGTCATAAGGGTTAAGTCAAACACTGTGTGCCAAAAAGCCGGGTTTTTTTTATTCTCTTGATAATTATTAACAAAACCTAGTGTAAGATTAACACCAGTAATTTGGATTTCAGATCAAGTTTGGTGCTGTCAAGTAGCCATAGGCTGTATGTATATTAATCATAAGTAAAAAAAAAAAACTCTGAAAAACCTCACTCAACAAGTAAGAATTCATGGTCATGATTTTGGCAAAGTTTGAATTAGATTAAATAGAAATAGATTAAAAAGTTTGCCTTTAAGGTTTGTATAGCGCACTTGTGTTCTCACAACCACAGTGACACATTACATTAGACATGGACGTTGTGTGGATGAGATTTATTTATTCTATTCATTAAACGAATAATATTGATTCCTACTAGGATTGGCTAATGAATATTAATTAGATCACGTGATCAAGGAACGTCTGCATGCGTAAATAATATTAATGAAAAAATGCCGTCACCAGTAGCGTTCATTCCATTCATTGACGGTATAAAACAAGATTCAGTCCCGTATGCTGGTGGGCGGGGCCTATCAGTTTCAGTCAGTGGCGCTCGTGCATCAAACGAAACAAGCAGCCGTCCCAAACACCAAGACAGCTCTCTAAAATGTATTGCTAACGTTTCTTATCTGGTTTTATGTATAAACGAAAGTCAATATATTCTGTTAAAATATTTGGAAAGCTGTTTCCTTTCTTTCATTGTTTTCACTCGTTGAAGTGTCTACACGTTTAGAGTTGGAAATGCACTTATTGATCTGTCCTGAGATCTGTTCTTCGCTGGTTTATCATCATCACTAACAGGTTTGTGTGTTCTTACTGTCTGTTTATCATAAAAAAATATGATATATTAAAATATATATATTAAATTAGGTATTTACAAGATTAATTTTTTTCTGTAAACAATCCTTGTAAGTATTAGATAATTTATTGTCTTTTTAATTTATTATTAATTATAAGATAATTAATTTATTTTGTACTTCGTAGACGGTCCCTATCCTGCATCATTACATTATAAATCAGTTGCAATACCTCAAGGCAGATTAAAAACACGAAAAACCTTGTGTTCTCATTTAAAAGAAAAAAAATTGAACACATGTCTCTTGTCATTAGCCTATGCTAAATGGTAACGATTGAAGATTTCCGAGGCTCAATGACTAATATCAAACGTCAAGCCAACTTTATCTCGGTGGTAATTTTGTCACTAATAATTATAAGAATTTATAAATAGCAAGAAGAGTAGCCTATTAGATTCATAGTTACAGAGCATCACAAATATGGTTTGTTCATTTAAACGAATAAGCATTACAAAAATGATTGGTCAGGTGATATCAGACACAAATTGAATAACCTTTTCATGGACTAAACAATCTCAGGTTAACCTCAACCGTTGCATAAACGTTATATCCAAATAATTAAAATGGAGCAGCCATCACTTTGATAGAGCAGCCTGTATTTCAGAAATTCTACAAGTTTGGGGACTCTGAGATTATTATTATTTTTTTGTCAGTGCAAATATAACAAAGACTAGTATGTTTTACATGGCACATGGTAAGGCAGTCATGCAAGCCTGCCCATTCAGATTTCTGTCCTAACTATGCATCGTTATATGGTTGTTATTTGCATTTAGCAATCAAAAGAGACCTGTGATCCATTTTTAGGTCACTATCTGGTCGAGATCTGTTTTAAAGAAACGCATACTACTTTCCATTGTTTCTCTAAAGATAAATAAATTATATACATGTAATGCATTCTGTGCCGCGGTGCAAATGCTGTGGCACGATTTTGAAAAGTAATTAGTTCATTTGTTACTTTAAAAAGTGCTTGACTGAAAAGCAGAACAGTCCATTTGCAACTTTTGCTCAAAAGAGCACGTCTAGATTGTGACAAGAATGTCAATTAGAGAGGCCCTCAGTGTAGAACATGGTGATGAGCCCTGTTAATAAATAACTTGGAGGAAAACCAAGAAATATTACATAGAACATTCTGTTGTCTCAGAGTTGTACAAAATATCTATTTTTACCTTTATTGACTTTCTCTCTTGCAGAGACATGACTTAAAGCTGCTGGCCCAGACAGACATGAATGCGCAAAACCTCTGTTGGTGTTTACAGACTTACTGATGTCAGAATTATTTGCGGTCATTGAAATGTTTCCCTCCATTACATTAAGACATTGTTTATGTCATTTTTATTATAATTTAGATTCTGAAACCTTTATTTTAAGATAGTAGGATCACTTAGTAATTAGTATTACTTGCTAATATCCATGAGGTTTTAGGGTTAGATGACTAAATGATGACAGAATTATCATTTTTGTCTGAGCTATTGATTAACCATTTTAAATAAAGCTTCTTTTGCGTTTGTTCTGTTCTCAGGGCTTCCTGTTTTCAGGATGTCTTCTCCGACAGATGCCTGCTGGAGGTAACCGAAACACACTACAGCCATTTTTTTTTCACCCTGGAGTGGACATGGTCCATTGGGCCTCTCATCTGGTGACATGTGTCTGGATACAGGCTGTAATGTCTTCTGCCTTAGACACTTGTCCCCCAACGGCCCCCATCGCTGTGGACTTCTCGGTGCCGTACCCAATGACTTACTTTCAGACCCGCAATCCCATCCAGAACATAGTTGCCAACTCCCTTTTCCAAGAGGTCTATGTGGCCTCTCAGAACGTCATCGAGGCAGTGAACATCACTCTAGGGAAACTGTGGGAACTCCGTACGGGACCGGTGGCCAGTCCGGAGTGTGAGATATGCAATTTGTGTGATATCGCAAGAGATCCCTTCCAAGAGGACACAGACAATGAGGTGTTGCTCCTAGACACGTTCCTGATGTACTTGTACTCGTGTGGAAGTTCCCAGTATGGAGTTTGCTATTTCCATCAACTCCATGAAAATGGAAAACCTCCTGGGCCTTCAAAGTGTTTATTCCGGAAGAAGTTCAACTCTCCGCAGTTCTGTCCGGATTGCATCGCTAGTCCTTTGGGAACTAAAGTCTCCATGGTGGAAGAGGGTCAAACGGTTTACTTCTTTGTCGCGGCAACAGTGAACAGCAGCGTGACTCAAAAATACGGTCGCATGTCCATTTCCGTACGCCGACCAGTTGCAACCGAGGATGGTTTTTACACCGACGTCCGAGGGTTGACGGTTTTGCCTGCTCTATGGCAGACATACAGGATTGAGTACATCTACAGCTTCTACACGCAGGACTTTGTCTACTTCTTGTCTGTCCAACGAGAGAGAACCGACTTGGACACTTCGCCCTTTCAAACAAGACTAGGCCGTCTACCACGCCACGAGTGGGAGATGCGACGGTATCGTGAAATTGTTTTAGAGTGTCGCTTTGAGCCCAAACGGCGACGGAGAAGCAATGTCAGCGAACCTTTCAAAGACGTGGTCTACAACGTGGTTCAAGCGGCCCACTTTGGGAAGGCTGGGCGGGAGCTCGCCGATGAGCTGGGTGCTGAAGAAGAGGATGATATCTTATATGGTGTGTTCGCTGTAACTGATGACTCGGGTGTTCCTGAAGATGACTCGGCACTTTGTGCGTTTCCGATGGATACAGTAAACACAGCAATAGATGACGGAGTGGAGGACTGTTGCAAGTCGGGACCAGAACAGCTTTCCAGAGGCCTTTGCCATTTTCAGCCCTGTGAGAGCTGCCCACACGAGGTTGGTACATTTCAGCTTTGTTTTTGTTCACAACAATCTACCGTAAATTCTGTACGATTTTGAACCAGTTTTATGGAAAGCATCCTCGACATACTGTCGATTACCGCAGAAAACGATCTATGACTTCTAAAGGAAAAATGCAATTAAGCACCACAAATAAACATGTAAATGCCACACTGTTTTGAATGTTTAATTTTAGCACATGACTTTACGTGTGGTTTTGAAGAATTGGCTGGTGGATTGCATTTCTTGTCCATCATAACTTTCCATATGTCGGCTTTAATTGTTTCCGTCTTCAGTCTGTTCCCATTACACTCTCTCATTTCGCATGTTATTGTTTTACATTGAGACCTGCAAAGCTTTCTAAGTGGGCAATGTCGTACCTTGCCACCTTAGGAAAAGCCTAAAGGTATTTTAATTGGCTTGTTGCTTTATTTTTTGTTATTTTGTTGTAAAATGGTTTGAGTGACCACAGTCTGGGTCATAAGTCACTTTCTTGTATATTCTGTCTCATGTCTTTGCGTTTGTTAGGATTTCAACGTCTATAGAGAGTAAAAATGGCACTGAATGCACTACACTCATAAAACAATAACTGTGTCGTCTGATTGAAGAAACCATGTAAAATCCTTTTTGTAATTTACACTGAGGCTCAGAGATGCAATCTGTTTTTCAAGCACCTATTAAGTGTTATTGCGCCTGTGGCACACATGCACACAAAATGCAACACATTTTTTTTGTTAATGCAGGAATTAAAAGCAACTATTGAAGTCCAATAGAATTCTTGGGGAAAACACAGTTGCAAAGCCATTTGGCACCCGCTGGACAGTTGGTTCAGACAGATAGTCAAAGATAGTTAAAAGGTTTATGAGGTTGATATTGCATTATAGTCACTGTTTTTTTTGGGCTGTGCTTTTTGTGAGTCTGATCGTCTGAGACATTACTCATGACTTGGAAATGATATAAAACTTGAATCAGACTTGCAAAACAGTGACCTGCTTGGCCTGCTGGCAAAATAACACTTTAAAACCCCCAGTTTTTAAGTTTTTGGTGCTTCCATCATTTTGAGTTTCATCATGCCTTTTAAGACAAGATTCTTACGTAGACTTTGTGTGTGAGTGTGTGTTTAAAAAAAAAAATATTTTTTCTGTTATGTAGGCTATATTTCATATTCAAGCCTGCAATAGCGCTGCTTCTGCTATCTAACATCTGTTAAATAACTTACTTAAATCTAATGTTCCCCTGCTCTGTATCACAGCAGGATTCTTAGAAGACAATCTCAGCCACTTACAGGATATGCTAGCTTCATTTTCTTTCATTATAGAAAGCATTAAAAGTCTGATTTTCAGTTTTGCGGAAGGTTTTGGAACATTAACAAAAATTTGAATGGAAAAATGCACTTGAAAGGCAAAGTGTTTTAGAGGAACATTTTTGGGCATGCGGCAGATAGAACACTTTTAGGCTCCACTGAGGGTGTCAGAGAAACTTGAAATTAGGGAGGAGGACATTTGAGTTCATGATTATGGTATGTGTCCTAAATACAGTGTTGCCAGATTGGAAATATCCAAGTATCTTTTGGGGGGGGGGGGGGGGGGGGGGGGGGAGTTCATGACGCAGGGTCTCTTGCTCTCTCCCTCTCTACCGTGCTCTCTCACCATCACTTTCTCCTCACAATCATGACGTGGATCCACAGCTAGATCAATGAGTATTAACCGAGAAACACTATGATTACAATGACCTCCGATTGAAGTGTCACAAAATTCTGAAATTATCGTACATTATGGGATTTTTTTCATTATTGATCGTACATCGTACAGAGGTCAAAATGATCGTACAAATACGATAATTATCGTACATCTGGCAACACTGCCTAATACTAGCATGAGGATGTGTACTAAGTATGTTAAAAACTCTTTTCTAAGCCATTTTTTCAATTACTTTTTTTAACCAGTAAGTGTCAGATGACTTTAAGTGGGTATATGAAGTCAGTCGAGGCTTTCCTCTTGGTTTGATATATCTAATGCAGTGACACTGGAATCATTTTTGCATGTCTGAATTCTTTTTGCGGGCACTGCATATTTGCAAGAAACTTATTTGTATCATACCTTAACATTTTTCTGTATATGCCTATAATGCTAATGTACATTTGAAAATTTAAATGAGTTAGAAGCAGCATAAATGTGTGGCAAGTGTTTTAAAATATGGGAAAATAAGTTTTCACCAGAGATCATTGTTTTAGTGTCCAGATGAGAACTGCCTACTTGTACGCAATCCAAATATCCCTGTAATGTGTGGGAGAATGTCTCGGAAATCTCAGAGTGTGATTGCGAGTTTGGTGCTATAAAAACACAGTTTACAGCTGGTATGTGTGTATGAGTGTGTGTTAGTGTAGTTAAGAGGGTTTTTTTTCCATTGTGGTCAATGTTTATGGGAAATGAGTGGAAAAGGGAGAAAATGACAGTGTATTTTTTTAGATTTCAATGAGAGACAGATTACTCACTTTGTTAAAAAGGATGATTTAGCATTTTTGAACAGGTAAAAATGTTTTTTTTTTTTTTAACAGCATCTGCATAGAGCTAGTTTAGTTTGTGGTAAATCAGACTATATAAATATATAGTCAGTCAGAGACACTTTTTTGGGTTGATCAGGGGTTGTGTGGTTAATGTCTATGCCAAACAATACAGGAAAGGCTTCAGAGAGCTACATGTAAGAGTTCACCGTAGTTTACAGCAGAGCAGAATACCATGATAGTATTCACTAGCCTGGTTAAAACCAGACCATTCTCAGTCGTAACTGAGTTATGGTCTGGCAAAGCGTCATAGACAAATCATTTCCAGAGGGGCGTCACCAACGGATGTCGCGGATAGACCTAAAACCAATCAGAGCGATGAAGGAGATGACGTATGCAGAGCGGCGGAGAAACATCTCCGAGTGTTGTTCTTTGCTCGGTTTTTAACAAAAAGGAAACGTTCAAATCGCTTAAAACAGACGCGATAGCTGATTCGAACGAGTGATGTTCGACGGTGGCATCCATCTTTGTAATGTAGGCTACAAAATCTGCTTCAAAATCCCAGCGCTGTCGTCATCGTGTAAAGCCCGCCCCAATGTTTCTGATTGGTGCCTCGATTTCGACAGATTGGAAATGGGCATGAATGAGCTCTTTGCCAGACTAACTTTCAGAGCAAATCTAAATTTGCCGGAGGTTGTCTGGGTTTTCCCAGGCTAAGTATTCACCAGAGCACCACAGTACTAAGGCAATTTGAGACTGAGTTTGTTTGTGTTATGGGACCACAATTTTTGTGGTAAGATTCTAAATTGGTGGCCTAGTTTACTGGAATATCAAATTTTTTGTCAATTCCTGTCTGTCTGTCTGTCTGTCTGTCTGTCTGTCTATCTGTATGTCTGTCTGTCCATCTATCTGTCTATCTGTATGTCTGTCTGTCTATCTCTTTGTCTGTATGTCTGTCTATCTCTCTGTCTGTCTGTCATTGTTCTATCTATCTGTCTCTCTATCGTTAATTTTTCTATCTGTATGCTTCTCTATCTTTAATTTTTCTATCTATCTGTCTATATCGTTCATCGTTTTGTCTATGTATCTATCTATCTGTCTGTCTTTTTTATTTTACAAATTTATTTTGTATTTTCTACAGTACAGTATATCTTTATTTTTTTACTATATGTATTTTTTTTTTAATTGACTGTATTGACCTATTTTAAATTTTTTATTTATTCATTATTTCTTCCTTTTTTGAACATCCCAAATGTTATTTTCATGTTATGTTCATTCTAGTTATTTATTTACAAACATACAAATAACTTTTGACTGTGGGTAAATGACTGATTTTAGAAAATGAATGAAAGTGTTTGTGAAAATGTCTAACTTTTGGATGTTGTACCACGGAGCATCTATAATAAAGACAGACAAACAGATATCTGTAATACAGCAGTGCAACTCTTTTGTTTGTTTTCTTGCATATGTGTGATCAGAGCATGGAGCACAATATGACCTGCAGAGATCAGCCCACCCTGGTGTCTCAGCCGTACTACAGAGTAGACCTCTTCAACAGACAGATGAGAGGCGTTCTGCTCACTTCTATACTGGTCACCAGCATCGAGAACAAGACAGTGGCTCATATAGGCACATCAGATGGGAGACTCTTGCAGGTGTGGATCAGAAAGAAGATTGTTGCTAGCTATGCCAGTTTGATTTATCATTATATCAACCTCTTTTCTTTTCACACCACAGCTTGTCCTGAGAAGGTCCAGCCCGGTCATCTTTGCCAATTACTCCCTTGTAGAGAACCAGAAGGTGTCGTCTACCGCTGCGGTTCTCTCCCCAGACCATCTACTGTTTGTTGTTGGAGATAAGGTATGATCCAGATAAAGTTCCAACCATGATTTCACATAAATCTTTTTAATTAGTATGCAGTATGCAAGAAATATTCCAAGTGGACATGGCCAAGTTTCCAGAAGCCTTTATTCCTTCTTTGGGCTAATAACAGTTCTATATTCATAACTGGCAGATGATTCAGGTGCCTCAGAGAGGTCCAGGTTGCCGGCACTTCCTCACATGTGCCATGTGCCTGACCGCACCAAAGTTCATGGGGTGTGGCTGGTGCTCGGGTCAGTGCACCTGGGCTTCTGAGTGCAGGGGATACTGGGGAAATGAGTCATGTCCGCCCGGCATCACAGAGGTGAGATATGATTTGAAAATTAATCGTACAGTCTACAACAACACTGTAGATGTAAAGAATGTGTATATATATATATATATATATATATATATATATATACATGCATGCACTGCCTGGCAACAGTTCTTCTAACCCTAATTGATGGAGTGTGTACTGTGTAGCTTTTCATTTCTTAAACAACCATGTAGGAACTAGTTGTTACATGTATGTCCTGTGTTTCCCCCGTTCTTTGTGTATTTGGTTCAGTCCTGTTTCCAGTTTCCCGCTCCTCGTTAGTGTTAGTTATAGAGGGAATGCGTATGACGTCACCGTCAGCTGGAGTGATTGCGGTCACGCCCACTCGAGTGGCAAAAAGACTGAGCGGCAGCATTGGTTTTCAGCGTGAATGCCGTGAAAAACACAAAAAACACATCTAAAATGGGAAAGAGCTTTGCGATTGACTGTACAACTACATTTCACAAGAAATCTGAGGTATATTTTTACAGACTGCCAAAAGCTACAGAACAGAGAAGCAAATGGATCGATGCAATTCATAGAATCAACTTGACTCCAGAGAAAAGTGGATTTGCAGTTATCATTGAGCATGTTTACATGCACACCAGTAAGATGATAACTCACATATATCAGCTTATTGAAATAACCAGTTTCCCGTTTACATGCAAACCAGTAACCATGACAACACAAGTAAACCGTGTTTACATGACTTTATTAATAAATCAGGCCATGACCGTGTGACGACAAAACAATCATTTGCGTATCTGACTTCATTTGTTTTGTCGGTTGATGTTAAATAAAGCTTGCAACATGTCAGCGGGAAACTTACAGCTCGTATATTCTCTCATGTCATGCAGTTACAGATGCAGCGTTTTGACTGAACCACTTCTACTTCTGCTGCACGAGATGAGAAAAAAAAGCAGAAAGCAGGTTAATGCGTTTACATAATTCGAAATCCGAGTAAGAGGCAAAAAACTACCAGTGTAAAAGAAAACGGGTTTCCCGTGTTTACATGACCACATGCGTTGTCATGACAAAAAAAAACTATAGGCTACAAGTTTTATAGCCTAATGATTATAGTCTAATGATTATAGCCTATATATAACATTGATATGAGTGATCACCTGGATTTAGACCTACCTATATTGTATTTATATAAAGCGTTCACAGGCAAATTTGCTTCACGTATTTCCCCGGCGTCGAAATCAGGCACACAAATGTCAGGAAACACAATGGCTGCGTGTCAATATGGATCACTGGATCTTTGGTAGGCCTAAATTGTAAGGAACACTTATATCGAGTCCAAACATCGTTTGTTTTACTCTCGTTTCCGCAGTTTCCCCTATTAAATCCAGTCACGCAGCAGCTCTTTTGCCACTCAGTCCAGCTGAGGGGGCGTGTTCACGTGGGACACGTGACATCAATGCATTCCCTCTATTCACCTGTTATTCATTATCTGTTCATTTGCCCCAGCTGTGTCTTGTTTCACCTATCTGTTGTAAACCCTGCGTTCTCCCTCATTCCTTGTCCGTTCTCGTTTGTGTATGGTGTGTAAAGTTATACTGTGTTCTCCTGAGTTTGGAATTAAATCCAGTTTATTTCTATTCTTCGTCTCCTCGTGCTCCCTACCACCGTGTACCGTAACACTAGTAAGACATATCATGACCATATTCCATATTTCCATAATTTTTTGGTCAAGTTCTTAAATTGTCAATGCAAGAGTCGAGCACTTTGTAAAGTCTCCTCCAGCACATCCCAACGACTTTCAATGAATTTAAGGTCTGGACTCAGAGGTGCCAATTCATGTGTGAAAAGGATTCTTCATGCTCCCTCCCAACCATTCTTTCACAATGGAATATGGCCATGATATTTCTTCCTACATGGTTGTTTAAGAAATGAAAAGCTACACACTCCATCAATTAGGATTAGAAGAACTTTTGCCAAACATATAACATGCTAGAAACATAGTAATCACGGCAATAATGATCTCTTAAGCATTTGCCTATTTAAATCCAAACAGTGACTTTTTTTCTTTTTGGCCGGTAGTGTATACATGTGTTTATATATGTTTACCCACAGGGTAAAAGAAAGCATTTAGCAAATAAAACATGAATGGAAATGTTCTGTGCTCAGTTTTTCCCCAAGACAGCGCCCCCTGATGGTCAGAGTGAGATAACTCTGTGCGGATGGGAGTTCCAGTCGCCCCTGCGACCCGCCATCACGACCAGAACCCATGAGGTGAAGCTGGGTGAGACCGCCTGTGTGGTCCAGCCTCACAAAAGCAACAACACACAGTAAGTATTCCTGATTTCCTCTTCTTACAGATGATGAATAACAATAAAAGTGGATTTTTGAAAAAGTCATTAGTCAGTTAAGCTTCATTTTCATATAAATATTTGCATTAGATTTTGTATGCTCATGGAAAGTAGAAAGATTTTTGCATTTTACATGGTTGAATGAAGGTAAGTGTTTAAGTCATGTAACTGGTCATTTTTCTGCCCAGCTTATTGTGTAAGATCCGCTCTGGGGCGTCAGAGCCACTTTTTAAACCAGTGAACGTCACAGCAAAAGTGCACGAGGGCCGAGTGGAGGGCCGTTACTCTATTGAAGGAAGTGCAGAGATGCCTGGATTCACCTTTGTGGTAATTAGTTCATTTGTTACACAAGCAAAACATGCATTTTCTTCTCTTAAAAATGTCAACTTGATTTCTTTTAAGAATAGCCATTAGCAAGTGTGTTGACAAGATTACCTTTGCTCAACATCCTTTTTTCACCAGGTTCCAAACATCACTGAGGTTCAACCTGACTATGGGCCGGTGGACGGAGGAACCCTCATCACCATCACGGGTCTTTATCTGGACTCTGGCAAGAACAGGAAAGTTACACTTGATGGAGAAACATGTCCAATCCGAAGGTGTGTGTGTGTGTATCCATTATATCAGTTTTCAACTGGTGGCCTGAAGAGGCACTGCCAATTATATCAAATACATTTTTGTGTGAATATGCCTAAAACACAATTTATTATATTAAAATAATCTACACTAACTTTAAAAAATGTTAAGGTTGGTTTGATTTTTTTTTATGTCTTTGAAATAAGTCTCATTTGATCACGAAGGCTGAATCACATTATAAATGTCTTTTACGTCACTTTTGATCAATTTAATGTGTCCTTCCTTGCTGAAGAAAAAAAAAATCCCCAAACTGATTGGTATTACATGTATATGATATATTACAGTAATTATTAATTTAATTGTTTTGCAAAATGTGTGAAATATATCATAAAGTATGTAAATGCATGTTACTGTTGGCCAGGTCTAAAATGCACAGTTTCACACAATACGCAATGGTGTTCATGCTTCAGTGTATCTGTGGCCAGAGGAAACCTGTCCTCCATCGTATGTGTCTCTCAGCCTGTGACGGAGGTGAAGGACGTGGTGCTCCGTGTCTACATCGATAAGTCCCGTGTTGTGACCACTAACGTCTTCCGCTACAAAAAGACCCCTGAGATTCTTGCGGTGCTGCCCGATTGCAGCTTTGACAGGTACTGTAGATGCAGGAAGTTATAAGTTGTTTACTTATTGGCAACTGAGAAAAGCTTTCAGAAAAAATATGGATTGTCTAACATTTTTATCTTGCTGAATTGCAGTGGGTCAAGAATCGTCATTGAAGGCCGAAATCTGGACTCTGTCTACAAAACTGTTGTCTACTTTAAACCCAAAGAAAGCCACCTCAAGCCTGTTTCCACTGTATGAACTGTAAACGTTTGCTCTTGAGATATTTGATACTACTGATCTTTTGCCTTGTTTATTTAAAGGGGTCATATATCATGAGGAATATTGCTTAATAGTTTAAAATAAAAATGTATTGTATTATTCTGTAACTTTCAGAACTCAAAAGTTCACAAAGATTTATTGAAGCTACTGTAGGATGGAAAACGGTTAATTCTAAAATCCTTAAGAACATTAAATATCTAGTTCAGTCGGATCTGTTTCAGTTGCATGTTTTCAAAGCACTGTATCTCATTTCAAATCATATAATCGTCTTAAAGGCACAGCAGCCAATTTAATTAACAAAAATTGGATAACTTTAAAAACTAAATGATGATGATTTTTTGGCACAAATAAAAACTTTATATGTGGCTTTCAGGGTAATAATCAATTATAATATTATTATAATAAATTTTAATAAATGTTTAAAAATGTATAAAATTAACTCTTTAAAGCTACAAGTGTCCAGCACTCTTTATTTATTTTCTGTTTAAAGATTATATATGTAGTTGGATGAATCTACCTACTCTCTGAAGGGTGTGTTCACACTTGTAGTTTGGTTCTCTTGGTTCCTTTGGTCCAGACCAAAAAAGAAAATGACACATTTAGTCCTGGTTCACTCTGTGTTCACACTGTCATTTTTAATACCAAACCTAAAAATGGCAACAACAACAACAAAAATTGCACCAGAGTTCGTTTTAATTGAACCAAACCTGCCAAGTGTGAACACACCCTTATTGACCACAACAACAATGCATAGATTTTGGTGGCTTCGGAGCATGTTAGACTTTCATAATGTTTTCTCGGTTCTTCCACCGAGAGCTGCGATTATAAATGAAAGATTAAAGTGTTTTAAATCTTTACGTTTGCAGTGCAGCCTTAGTGTTTTTAGATTGCAGCATCAAAGCGAACAGATATATATTTGTGGACACATTGCACAACCTGACATTCGCCTTGTTTTACATTTTTTCCGTACTGTTGTCCTCTGAAGGAGTGCAGGGGTAAAGCAAAACCCACCCGAATGGAGTGCATCACCCCCGTCTTCCATCGAGATGAGACCGAAGAGGGCGAGCTCTCGTTTGACATGGACGGAGTGCTTGGCCTGTGGAAACAAGACTTCTCCTACCACCCCTATGGCAGACCCATCCCGTTTGAGACTGAAGGTCACATACTGAGACTCTACCCTGGGTTTGATGAAGTGTCCTTGCATGTATGTAGAGACTTCCATTATTAAATCACATTATTCCATTGCTGCTCTGACTTTTTTTCACTCTCAATCATCTTTCAATGTATGCCTTGATAATATTTTATGGGGTCCAAAAGTCTGAGACCACATTTAAAAACCTGGAAATAAAGGATTTTAGAATTTGTAACATTTTAAAAGCTAAATCATATTTAAAGATAAATAATTTTCACTAGTAATATCTTTCACTATAAAGACACTGTTTGTGATTATACAACTTTTTTTGTCTTATGACGCAGCATCAGAAGTTGAACCTTGTGAGTTCTTGCATGTCAATCACGATGACGGTTGGAGACGTTGACTGTGGTGCTAAAGTTCTAGATAATGAGATCACATGCAGGATCCCTAATAATATCACTATTCCCAGTGAGGGTTTACCTGTGAAGGTGAGTGCTTGAAAATATGTGGAGATCTATAAATGCAGTAATTTTACCTTGTCTTTAGCCAAAGCACCTCGATTGCCATTAGTTGCATAATACAACCTTACTCTGACATCAGTACTATTTCCTCATGCCAGGTAACAGTTAATGGGTACACACATAATGTTGGCACTGTAATCTTGGTCAGTAACCACTATATGGTGGGTATTGTGCTTGGCATACTGGCAGCTCTGGTCACGGGTGCGGTTATGGCCTTCATTGTGCTGAAACATCTGAGGAAGCAGAAAAAAGGTGAGCACATTTCACATTTTCCCTTCATTTAAGCAATGCCAAGTCTTATTTTGCGGTCAAATCTTTTTCAGTCATTTTTCAGTTACACATCTTAGCAAGCACAGTTAAGACTATCGATTTTATCAATACTTTTTTTTTCTTTTTTCTTTTAAATCCACAGCTTCGCTGGCAGAAAGTCGTCTGTCTTATTTTTCCCACAGTCGTTCACGTAATAATAGTGTGGATTTATGTCCTTTAGGAGACTACAGACGTGGTGAGACGACACCTTCACATCAGCAACCAATTAAAAAAAGATCATAATGATCGATCACTGAATTATCAGCGTTGTCATATTTTTTTATTGAAATATTTTTCAATATAAGTTTTAGATATATAATTGAATGGTTTCTACTAGGGATGGGGGAACAGTTCTGGTTCGGTTCTGATTCTAATTCCATGCGCAAGAACAATAAATGGAAACAAACATTATATATCATAATATATGACTTAATATATATGTATATATATCTTATTAAATGTAACTTTAAAATAAAGTACCGGTATGTGTCCTACTAAGAGCACAACCCTAATTTCTGTTCACATGAAATATTAGGTCTACACATTTACTTCAAGGCTAAAAGCACTTCCATTTTTCTCTGCTCCTTGTAGAACTGCCCGTCACAACCATCATTGCACCCGCTGGGGTCGTGGCGTTCCCCGGCCTGGCCTACACAGGCACCCTGGACACAACCCTGACCCCTCTCATGCCCCCAGAGAAGATCTCCATCACCAGTTTCCGCCCTGAGCTTCTGGAGGAGGTGAAGGACGTGCTGATCCCAGCTTCCATGCTCAAGGTTCACCACCACCAGATCATCGGAAAGGGTATGCTTATAAATCAAACATGCTGAATGCTGCAAATAAGTTCAATATATTTGCGTTAGAAAGATTGGGATCAATAAGATTTTTGATCAAAAATACATTAAAAACAGAAATATTGTGAAATATTTTTATCATTTTATATTTATATTATATGTTATATTTTAATGAATTTTAGAATGTAATTTATTCATGTGATGCAAAGCTGAATTTTCAGCATCATTACTCCAGTCTTCAGTGTCACACGATCCTTCAGAAATCATTCTAATATGCTGATTATGCTGAACGTTCAAAGGAACAGCATTTATTTGAAATAGAAATCTTTTGAAACCTTATGAATGTCTTTACTGTCACTTTTAATTAATTTAATGCATCCTTTCTGGATAACAGTATTAATATCTTTAAAATGACTGACCCTAAACTCCAGGGTTTAGAACTTGATATTGCTTCATTTCTCAAAAAAATGCAATTACTGAAAAAGGGAATAAGGTCATATTTTGAACTTGAAGATTAATAAACATGCTTTTTTTCGTAGGACACTTCGGCACCGTTTACCATGGTTACCTCACTGACCACAACAACAGAGAAATCCATTGTGCTGTAAAATCTCTCAACAGTAAGAAACTCCTCAATGGCTCATAAAGATACTCCTGAAAATCTGAACTGCACTCTTGGGATGACCTACCTGATGAAAAACATTTATTTCTCACAATGAACTGCCTTTAAATTGGCTTGCAGTGTTCCTGTTGCTTAAACCAAGGTCATGGGTTCGAATCCCTGGGAATGCAATAACTGAGTAAATGTCTACCGTACCTTGAACGCAATGCAAGTTCCTATGGTGTCTGCCAAATGCATAAATAGTAGTTTATGAAAAAATTATTTTCATTCCAAAATATTCAAAACATTTGTTTACAAACAACATCCTGGGTCTAAGATCATTTTTTAGAAATCCAATCTCTAAATGTAAATTGACTTAATAATATAAATGCTTGCATGACAACTGTTTTTTTTCTCTCTGGTAGGAATAACGGATGTGGAAGAAGTGGAGCAGTTTCTGAAAGAGGGCATTCTGATGAAGGGATTTCATCACAGTAATGTTCTCTCTCTTCTGGGTATCCTGCTTCCCGAAGAGGGACTTCCCTTGGTGGTCTTACCTTACATGAAACACGGAGACTTGCGTCACTTCATTCGCTGTGAAAAGAGGGTCAGTTGCTAGAAAGTGAACTCAGACACATCAAATATGTTATGTATTTTGCCTTGAACCATTGCCTTGCACAACAGGTTTGTATTTGTGGATGGATTTCACAACATGACCTCCTGCACTGCTCATAACCTTATAGAAGTTCCAGGAAGTGATGTTGCCTAAGATTCTCACTGTGTCAGTATTTTTTTTGTTTTTTTTTAGTCTTATATAGTCTTGTTGTCTTATCCTAGAATCCCACAGTTAAGGATTTGATTGGCTTTGGGCTCCAGGTTGCTAAAGGAATGGAGTATCTGGCACAAAAGAAATTCGTACACCGGGATCTAGCAGCACGCAATTGCATGTGAGTTTTGCACGCACAAAGATTATGAATTAAGGCCCTGATATACTTCAAGCGAAATCAAAGAACAAACTGATGTGACGTCATTTCGAAACAAAATCAGGCCCAAACGAAGTTTGGAAGTTTGGAGTTTTGATTTGGGAGTTTGAAACAGCTTGCCAAACAAATGTTCAATAAAAGTTCACACTGGCTGGCAAACACCTTCAAACTACTATTGGTCCGTTCTGATTAAAGGGTCAGTTCACCCAAAAATTTTAATTATCGAATAATTTACTCACCCTCAAGACATCCTAGGTGTATATTACTTTCTTCTTTCAGCCAAACACAACTGGAGTTATATTAAAAAATATCCTAGCTCTTCTAAGCTTTATAATGGGAGTGAATGGTACCATTTTTTTAAGCCCAAAAAAGCACATCCATCCATCATAAAAGTAATCCATACGGCTTCAGGGTGTTAATGAAAGGCCTTCTGGAGTGAAGTGTTTTTGTAAGAAAAATATCCATAATTATAACTTTATAAACTGTAATCACTAACTTCCGGTAACGTCCATCCATGCGTTCACGAGAGAGTCGAGATACGGCGTATGACGTAGGAGTTAGGCGTAGCGTAAGCTTCATTGAGTAGACGCCTCTCGCGGTTCAAACAAATAGGGCTGGGCAACAAATTCATGCTCCTCCGACATTTCTCTTTAAAAATTGTCTTTTTAGACTTCTAATTTGTGACAGGTGTTTTGTTTTGCTCTATCCCCTGCGCTTCCGCGTTCCTCAATACGTCATGCGTCGGGTCAGAGTTTACTCTTCAGCCGGCACTCTGGAAGCCAGTAATTTATAGTTTACAAAGTTATAAATATAGTTATTTTTCTTACAAAAATGCATTGCTTCGCCTCAGAAGGCATTTATTAACCCCCTGAAGCCGTATGGAAGCTTGAAAGAGCCATGATATTTTTTAATATAACTCGATAAACACGATTGTGTTTGGCTGAAAGAAGAAAGACATTTTCACATCGCTATGATCAGATGCTTTCTTAACTGCTGTTTTCTCACCGCTGTCATTTTTGTTGTGTGTTTATTTTGTTATTGAGAGGAAAACACGCAGCACATGTTCACATATTAATCTAAACACCGCTGTCAACAGTGTAGTCGGCATCATGATGTTTGCTAACAGCATAAAACTGCTCAGGTATTTCATACATCTTTTTACCCCTAAGCTAAGAACGAAAAAGAACTTCGCCGTTAGTATATCGGGTCCTTTAGGGCTCCAAACTGATAAAAAGTCAGCTTGCAAAGCTCCAATATTTGTTAGAACATCTATGCATTATTTTACTTTACCTCTACCAACTATTCTTTCTTATGTATGTAAATGCACAGTGAAGTTGAAAGTGCAATTGTGAATTTGGTACTGACTCAAACTGTTCTCTCAGGCTTGATGAATCCTACACCGTAAAGGTAGCAGACTTTGGAATGGCTCGAGATGTGCTTGAGAAGGAGTACTACAGCGTCCAGGATCACAGGAAAGCCAAATTACCTGTTAAATGGATGGCCATTGAGAGCCTGCAGACGCAGAAGTTCACGACCAAGTCAGATGTGGTGAGATATGAAAATGAAATATGCTTACGTTTAACTACTGGATTACAGTAAGTATGTCTCAACTTTTTATTCTGTCTTTAACTGCAGTGGTCTTTTGGGGTTCTGATGTGGGAGATGCTCACACGAGGAGCCAGCCCGTACCCTGAAGTTGACCCATATGATATCACACATTACCTCTTAAAGGGGCGGCGGCTGCCTCAGCCACAGTATTGTCCGGGTCCCTTGTAAGTTTCTCTATTTTTCTACAGGATGCACTTATATACTCCAACTTACTTTTTATTAGTCGATCGATAATGTTGGTGTATAGTAGAAAGTTTGGCTTACACAGGCTGGTTTTATTCTGCAGTTGTTTTCCATTCTTCCATTTGTTTTTAGACATTGCTCCACAAGAGTGACATGGCCTTTTGGAATTTCAATGGTTTTAAGTAGCTGTCAGTCCGTTTAGTGTTTTTCCACCATTTGAGGTTCAGAGGGTTTAGAGCTTACTCAGTATTCAGAGCGGTGGAAAAGGTCAATCGAAAGGTTATTGTGAATGTCCCTTCAATTATCCATCACCTCAAGCACTACACTCAGAGAGTTAATCATCATTCACTTTCAGACAGAGGGAAATATTTAAAAACCAACACAGTTTTTAATGTTCCCCAAGTGACACTGCAAAACTTTGTAAACCTTGATAAATTTCCAGCAATCACTAACCCAACGTTTAGCTTTTAGCCAGAGTTGAACTGTGAAAAATATGTCTGGGAATATTATAAAAGAGTTCCATAACAAAATACGTTTTTTTATTTTTTTAAAGTTTTAGATATTTAAAGCAAAACAAAAGTATTATCTTTGTCACACACAACAGTTAGTTCTGGTTCTCTAATCTGATTGACTGAGAGCCTTTTCCAGTCATAAGTTATATTGAACAACAGAACTACATTTTAAAGGGCAGAGTTGGAAACTCTGGAACACTGTCATAATTTAAGGAATGGTTAGTGACTCAGAGTGTTGTAACAGGATGTGGAAACATGACGGGTGGTGAAGTTCAGCCATGGAAACTGAGAATATGTTTGACTCAAGTTTATATGGGGTTACTATGACGTCAGATGCCTGATTTGCAAATATAGTATGACAAAGCCGGTCACTTTTCAATTGAGGTGAACCAGTTGAGAGATGACTGACCCTCAACTCTATCTGCAGGTTTGCCATTATGCTGCAGTGTTGGGACCCCGACCCTGAGAAGAGACCAACCTTCTCGACACTAGTGTCCGCTGTAATGAGTATCCTGTCCAGCCTGGAGGGGGAACACTACATCAGCCTGAAGGTCACATACGTCAATCTGGACCAGCCCCGGCCCTACCCCGCTCTAACAGACTCTGCCGATGAATATGATTCGTCAGATGCAGATGATGCAGGCTCAGTCTCTAGCTGATTGGCTAACTGGTTTGATACTCACTAAAAAGGGAGTCTTTTTAACGGCCTTGCTGACAAGGCAGTAGGTGTGTTCGACTTGAAGTGGTGCTGCGCAGACTGATCGGTGTATGACATCAAAGTACCGCGAGAGCGACTTGAAAGCATATGAACACACTACACACCTAATGACTGTGCTTTAAAGAGGACTTGTTATGCTTTTTTCTCTAGTGTGTAATGTTGCTGTTTGAGCATGAAAAAGCCCTGCAAAGTTACAAAGCACAAAGTCCACTATAAAGGGAGTTCTCCTCTATATCAGTGCGCACTGTTTCTGAACTCCCTGAAACGACTCGATTGTAGTCTTGAGTTTTCTTCTGGTAACGTACACGTCACAATATCCCTAATTTATAATCATAATTCCCCCCCAGAGGCATACACAAAAAAAGTTGCAGTTGCATTAGTAGTGTGTTGAAACTTGCGGTTATGGTAAGGGTTGTGACATTTTACAAAACACGCCCAAAGAAGTTGACCAATCACACTGGTCCAGCCGACCAATCAGCACATTGTTCTTTTCGTAAGGAGGGGCTTCATAGAAACAGGAACTAAACAGACCATTACTGACAGACTGGGAAGAGAGGTGCTGCAACAATGTCAAATATGTGAAAAATTATGTTCTTTTTAAACATTTAAGTATGCAAACCTATTCTAGTAGACCCCAATAACAAAATCAAGACTTTGTAAAAGCGAATAATGTGGCCTCTTTAAATAGCATGCTAGAATACTACTTAAACAGTACTATTTTAACAGTATCCATACTGGTGCACGGTATATGTATTTAATAGGGGCTTTTGCACTCAGTTATAGGAACTAGCCACCAGGGTGGTCCCCCGAGAACTGCCAGTAGAAACTCTGTCACTTACGTCGTGCCGTTGTGTGGGATTTTTATTTTGACAACGCTGAGAACGTCTTCCTTAGTTTATATTAGATAAGTAAACAGTAGAAAGAAAGTAAACCGTATACGAAAAAGTATTATAGCATTTGGCTTGTGGTTGATGCCCAATGTTGCTATCTGAGCAGAAATACATAATCATGTTTCGCTTGTTCCCTTCATAGTCGCGTTGGATTTCCTCCTTAGATTAAAGGTTGAGAAGTGCCTGGATTTCGGCGGTATTTCCATATTATTGGAGTAAATATATAGGCTATAAACTGTGTGTGTTTACATAGCTTTTTAAAAATGGCGGGTACCGGTGTTTTGCATCTGTTCGACCAGTCAACGTACACTTACGGCACTAGTTCCTTTTGTGCTAGGTTATGCTGCCTTCATGTGTTATCAGAATGATCATAAATATGGGTTTCCTAGTTAAAAATTGGACATGAATGCCCTCTCAAGTCATATTTACCTCTGGGAATCTTGGAGATAATTTTGATACCTAAGTTCCCTAGTTGGGCGGCCAATAAACTTTAAACATTGCGGAGGTAGAACGATTGCTGCTGTGACTGCTATTCTTTATTAGTTTTTCACAACAGCTACATCGCCTTGTCTTGTCATTTAAAGTAATCCATATTTACATATATGAATAATCATTTGAAGCGTATTGTACAGCGAAAATAAATACCCTGTGTTTGACCGAAATTCCAGAATCGTCAGCAGGCTATCTAGATAGCGCGGTGAATGTTTGTATGGTTGTGAATATCAGACGCTAAATTATCATTTTGCCTTTAATAAGATTTTCCCAATAAAATATAGAATAAAGAATAAACCTGGTGTCCTCAATGATTCCTGTTCTTTTCGCAAACAAAGCACTTGAATGCGACGAGCTCGTAATCACGACTTCAGAAGTTGAAAGTAGTACATTTCCGATAAGACGTGAAGGCAGCATTTAACCCTAGTCTGAAGTAAAAGCTAATTTAGTCCCCCCAAAAGTCATTCGTATTACTAAAATCGTTCCCTGTGCGAACATGCCAAAAAGCGGGTACTTCCACCAATACTATGAAAACGTTCCTCCGGTGCGAAAGCCCCTATTAGGCTTTTATAATTAAACATTTTATAATGTAGCCTATGCATGGAAGAGTTGGATGACCTAATACAAAGTTCTGTAATGAACCTCTAGATGGTGCAGACTTTCAATCATATCATTCTCTTTAGGGCACAGCTGATTGGTTCCTGCTGTATCTGTAGCCAATGAGCTTGCGTGCTCAACTTTCAAATACTTGGTTAGCGTTTGCCTTAGCAGTGCAGCACACTTTCAGAAACCCTTCATCTTCCCCAGCTCCACCTGTCTAGATCTGCTACGGGTAAGTCATGTACGCTATATTGTACAGCAGCAGCATGTCTTACATACTCACAGCAGCGCGTCATGTATGTATTGGCAGTGGCAAGTCCTGTACTTGATCTGCAGAAGCAGTGTAGCAGATCTATTCCGCCAAGACCAAATATATCAACATCGTCATACCCATCACCATGCCAAACACTCTGAGAGTTGTCATGACAGAACTACATTTATCAAAATGTGCAGTATACCAATGCAATCAAACTAAGTTACATTTATGTGTAGTTCATATCATATGACGTTATATTTTGCATATAACAAGGCAAAACGCTCGCCATAGAGCCAAAATACTGTATGAAACTGTATGTATGTTAGTATACTTCTGGCCTTGTACTGTATGTGCAGTATTGTTAATGAAGCTTTTGAAGTGATTCACTTTGAAATCAAGTCAGCACAGTGACAGTAACAGCACTTAACACATTTGTTTCACACTCAAGCACTGTCCTCATTAGAATTAATTTCAGTTGTAGAGGATGTATATTTTATTTATGAAACAACTACATTTTTATGTGAATAATTTTCAGTATTGTCCTATGTATATATAGGCCTATATCTGCACCACTTAATTTTAAAGATAGGTTGTAATCAGTGAGCCTTAACTTGGTGTTTGGTTTGTGATTATATCAGATGCTTGTACAGAAGAGGGATTGAATGCACAATGTTTGGGATGAGTCAGCACTGAAAGGTGTTGAACTGAATATATCGCCGTGCTGCAGTTATACAGCCTGTAGAAACGAGTGAGAATTTGACATCTATGACGCACATCTCTGAATAAAATCCAATTTTGCCAAAGGTGCCAGGGATTAGTGTATACTTGAATTATCTTGGGTAATACTTTTTTTTTTTTTTTTTCAAAGAACTTATAGTTATTGGCATCATTGGCTAATGGAAATGACGAACAAAACCAAAATGCTTTGATACATTGTATTAAAAAAAGGTTTTGTTCTGATGTAATGACAAGGTGTCGATACTTTGTACAGTTTTTGTCTGGCCAGGATGTTTTTTGGAGGACCCCGATATAACCGGCATTATATGTATCTTTGCATATTAAAGTGGGGTAGAAAAAAGTATTTTAAAATCATAAAAGGGAACACACTGTACCTTTGAGCTTGTGCTAGAAGAGAACACTAGGGGTCAGTAAAAGCCTTTTCATGATGGAGCAAATATTAAATGGGATGCGCTTTTCTCAGTTTGCAGCAAAATGAACAAAACAAAAAACTAATTATGATTCCCTCATATAGCTAATTATGCAGTTTACAGTCCAATAATCATTTTCAAAGCAATGTGATTTTTTTTTGTGACTTTCAGAGTGTGTCTTTCAATATCACTGTGTGGTAGTTTTACTATAGTCACTGTGTGTTATATTCTGTTATGCATATCCTTTATTCACTTTTAATGCACAGACCATAAAACCGACAGTGTTGGCCGACAGTGTCAGACAGAAGCATGCAGAGAATAAAAAGAGAGATCCAAGTCGACAAAAAGCCACAAAGAACTCAAGGTTCAGAGGTAGTAAGTCTCATTCGAACAACAGAAGCAAATACAAATAAAACAGAGAGGGAAACAAACATCATAACGTTGTTTTTCCCTCCCATGTCCCTCGCTCACTTCCTCTGTTACAAGATAAAAGAACCAAAGTAAATTCCCAGAAGATGCAGCCTTTGATTGTGAGCTCATATCTGCACCAGTGTCAAAAGTGTGTGAGGGAGAGAGAGAGAGAGAAAGAAAGAAAATTCCTACTGGGTGAGATGAATAGTGAGCTGTAGACACAGGCTGCTCTCGCCGCATAGTCACAACCTGCAGCCTTGAACCCTTTCATCATGTTTTAACAGCTCGGATTTAGATCCACACACACTCATTCACTCACTCACACTCTCTCACACAGACACACACACGTTGTGTTTTCGTGCTTTATGGGGACATTCCATAGACATAATGATTTTTATAGTGTACAGACTGTACGGTATATCTCCTAACCCTAAACCTATACCCACCACAGACAAACCTGCATTTAAAAAAATAAATTTAAAAATAAACATCACTTAATATGGTTTGTAAGCTGTTTTGCATACCAGAAATGTCAAGGATTTTGGATATTGCCATCTTTGTCTGGACATTTTGTCCCCATAATGTAGGGTTTACCTGAAACACACACACACACACACACACACACATATGGTTTCCATGTTTTATGGGGATTTTCCATAGACATAATTTTTTATAGTACAAACTGTAAATTATATCCCCTAACCTACCCATCACAGACAGAACTTTCTGCATTTTTATGTTTAAAAAACAATTTATGATTTATGAGCTGTTTTCCTCACGAGGACCAAAAAAAAAAAAGTCCTCACAAGGTTAGAAATAACTGGTATTACTACGCTTGTGGGGACATTTGGCCCCCATAACGTAGGGAATACCAGGACACCACACACACACACACACACACACACACAAACTGTTATGAGATACATACAGTAGAAATCACATGCTTCAGCTGTTCCACATCCTAGTGAACTGTCTTGCTGTCTGCTGCCATATAGACAGCTTGTTAAGACAGAATGTTGCTGCCTATTTTTTGGAACAAAAGATTTTTAAATTGCCTGCGAAAGGTATTCTAATGATTGCTAATAATATGCGAAAATAAATTGCTGAATATGCTGATAAATATATTTTAAAAGATTACAGAATTTTGCTTCTAGTATTTTCCCAGCTAATATATTTTTTAAAGAACCTTTTACTAACATTCCCATTAAGTTATGAAAGTTCGTTAAGTTCAAAAGGTCAGTTTTTAAAACTTTTTTTTGTTATGTGAACATTTCGTTTCATTATTGTGCAAACATTGGGAGCGTTACTTTAGAATGTTCTCTGAATATTCGGAAACAAGAAGTAACTGTTAGACAAACGTCCAACTAAAATGTTTAAAAAAAAACATGAGTGATGCATAAATAATGTTTTTGTGTTAATGTTTTGAGAACATTATTAAAGACCAGATAACTGAACAAACAATCTATTTCTGGAATGTTCATAACTTTGAGAAAACCTTGGCAGAATGTTAGCCAAAGTCCCCTGCTGGTTATATCTTGTTTTAAGGATTTTTTTTATATTTTTACTGAAAAATTTAACTGAAGTCATTTTTTTTTTTGCAGTGTTGAGCTCCATAAAATGCTTTGAAGGCAGCTCACAATGGTTTTATTGCATAGTTTATAATTTGAGTCATTAATGTCACATGGCTTTGATGCATTGAAATCAAATCTGATCAGGTGGCGTGATATATTTATGCTGCTGGTATTAGAAAGAGAGATCAATAAGGGTGTTGAGTCAAAAAAAAAAAAAAAATTGGTTTCGGTTGTTGTGTCCAAGACAGAGACAGCTCTAGAGCAAACTCTAAAAAGACAGAGAGGCAGGAGGAGAGAATCAAAGACGTTCCGGCATGTGTGAGAGTTTGAAAACACGTCCAGGTTCGGGTTATTATCCGTAGGGATCTGTTCCAGCAGTGTTGCTCTGAATCACTCAGCTCCAAAACAAAAGTTCTATAGGTGCTGGGAGAAGTAAAGGCTGAATAAACCCAGGCTCACTCTGCTGGAGCTTCTGTCAGCGCCTCAATGAAAACAATTCCTTAGAATAGATGCATCCTGCATGTTCAATTGAAGCTTTCCATAATTGAGTTTATTTTTCGTATATAGGAGATAGGAAGGAAATATGTATCAGGACGTCTGATAGGTTTATTTATTTAACACAACGTAACTGTAGACGAGACTCAACAAACTAAAGGTTAACACACATTAACTTTGTCTGTGAAACCGGGGGTCAGTTTTTTAAAATCCTTTAAAAAGTTTGCTAGAACGTTATCTAAAGTTCTGAGAACATTCCCTGTTAGCTGGGATGGTAGTACACTATTTTGAACATCAATGCAGAATGTACCAACCAATTACAATCTCAAATGCATCAACCAATCACATGCTCTTTCACTTATGTCACCTGACAAAAAAGAAGTTAAATTGAATTAACTTGAATGATATCTAAAATTGATATTTGTGATGGCGTCCTCAAATTAGGAGTCATAGTGATGATTCAGAAACAGACTGGTAGCAGTTATTGTATTTGCAATGCATGAAGAAACGAACGATCTGATTGTTCAGCCCTGTTGTGTGAGGTTGATTGGCAGCACCTCCCAAAGCACGTCTACAGAGAATCTCATGTGATAGACATGCATTTGAATTGCAGAAATAAACTTGTAATTCTCAAGCCTAAAATAATAATTTTGCCATGCCTTTTTTCCATCCAAAACCAGAGAAGACAATTGGCAAGCATTCTGGACATTACATTTGGTAGACAACCACCAACCAGCAATATGACTAATGAAGCTTGTCATGACCACTGAATATTACATGAACACATTCATGGAACACAATCTAATCGGCAAAATCAATCTCATTGAATATTTAGTTGAAAGTGGTGAAGTTATTTATTCACATGGGTACTATACCGTATATTATTCTTAATGCAGAGGCATTAAAAAAAACCTAAAATATCTTTGGAGCATTATGTAGATCAGGCACTTGCTCCATGAGTTTAAATATGGTAAATCCTGCGTCTTTAAGATTTTTGCTGGCTCTCATTGCTAGATGAAATAAGACATTAGAACTCATTACCGTCTCAGATTTATCAGTATCTAGAGGGGCATTAGCACCTCTCTTAGCGTGTGATGAAGAGCGGGAGTGACAGGAAATCATTGTCTTGGCCAGTCTGCTCAATCTGAGAGTCAGTGGATGGAGTCTCTCAGGGTTACTGAGGGTTGAGTTGGAATAGGAGACTTCATTTCAATGTGTGTTTGTGTGGGTGTTGAGAACATAGAAATGTGAAATATCACACGTACTGTAGTTGTTGTCGCCGCTGTCATCAGTGCAGTTTAGTTCTGTTCAGATCAGACCTGTTAGGATCAGTTGGCTTCAACAAATATAAAAAGGAAAGAATTGTTTTGTGATGCTATATAGCAAGTGAACAATACACCAAAGTTTTTGAATTACACCCACTGTTTTCCACTCATACAATTCAGTTTGTTATTTTTGTCCTTCCTAAAGAACAGTGAGTTGAGACTGGATTTACATTTATCGACCAATATCAGTCATCGCTTTCAAATATACCGGTAAAGAATTATTGGTTATCGGTATCGGCCAAACATTTTTTATATTGTGTTAAATAGCATCCCTAATACAATATAAATATTAGATGAAAAACTTAAACTTAAAAAACTTAAATGAAAATTAAATATGTTGTTCCCTTGGCAACTAACTGAAATAAATATTATGTAGTAGCCTACTAAAACTACTAAAACTGAAAAAATCCCATTCAAAATATCAGTAAATATAGCACATAAATAATAAAATAAACTTAGAGACTTAAGAATACGTTTTATTAACCACGTATTATGGTTGAGCTTACATAGCCTACATAGATAACAATACAAGAAAGAAAAAATGAAATAAGACTGCTTTAAAACATGGACATAAGACAATACAGCATAACCACCTGGCTCCATTCACTCGATGAAAAAGTGGTTTTCTGGCTTGAGATTTATGCAATCTGCCCAATATTTAGAAAGGTTAAAAGCATTGGGTTTTCACCCTTTGTATATCACAGCAGAAGCAACTGCATACTGATAAACTTCTTCTGACCATTACAAAACTTTCAAACGTCAACACTTCTGTTCTGGAGTTTGTTTGCAGCACAAAAACATTGTTTGCACATCATTGAGCTAATGACATTAGACAAGCAGATGTTCTCTGACTTAAAGGCATTTCATATTTTTAATAGTGTTTGCTAATACCCTTGCATTGCATGAGACAAATACACAATACTTGTATCCAAAAATATCAGAACCACAGAGAAGCATTCCATGTTACTTTATATATTATTCTGTATATTTTCAAATATGCTGTGAAACCATTCATATAGGGAATTATATTTTCTTTTCATAAGAGGACCCCAGACAGTAAACTGTGATTTTGTAACGTCATGATTTTTTTTAAACATGTAATATCACCCACTCCATTCATGTTTTTAGTCTAACCATTTAAAAAAAAACAAAAAAAAAAAAACAATTATTATTTGCCTTAATTTCATTATTAGACCTACCAGCAACGTTAGGTCGATGTGTAAAGATGTAACGATTCTTAGTTTCATTCGTGGTGTTGACACGAAAAACGAGCCATGATCTGCTGGAAGATTGCTGCAATCTCCTACCTAGACAAACTAACACTTAATAACATGAGGTTTTAATATGGGATGATTTTAGTATCAAAATGATTAACACGTGCAAGCACACTTATCAATGAACTTGATACATGTTGCAGAAATGTTTTATCCATGCCTTTCAACTTGTGTGTGCAAAATTCAAAATTGAATGAATGTGAAGCAATTTGTACAAATAGAGACATTTTTGTGAATACAAATGTTTTCCTTTGTATTAGTGTATCATAATTTGCACATGCAACACAGAAGACGTGCATGTGTGGATCAGGTGACGCGCGTGCATTCATTGACTCGATTCATTGAGTCGATCCTATTTGATTCATTTGGATTTTGAGACTTTCATTTCGCGGGTTTCGCCTTGCACGATCCACACACAGCTGTCTGAGAAAAGCTGCTACCACTAGATGGCAGTATTCTGCAAAAACAGACAACGGCAGCATAATCAAGCGTTCTTCCGCATTTAAGACGCTTAATGAGAGTGATATTGAAGCACCAAATTTAGTACACAATAATATAGGCCTACCCTATTAATAAAGCATACTTTATAGAGGCAAACATTACGTCAGATTATGAACAACACCCATAGAAAACCATTATAAAACGCTTAACGTGCAATCGCGCGTTGCATGTCCAGTAAGGTGTATTGGCTACTGAGTTTAAATATCACCGTCTTACTGCATTGACGTTAAGCTTTTTCTTTATAATATGCTCTATGGGAGGAAAACTATATAGCCTACAGACAATAGACTACATGAACGCAACGCACGGCGTTTCAAGTTAATACAATTTTCCTTCCTGTTAAAAAAAGGTGAAATTTCGCAGTTGCGTTCATATTATATGCTTATTTTTATCTGACTACACATTGTGTACATAGTATACAAGCAGGAATTTGAAAATGTCTGTTTTTAAATATTAAAGACGATTTTCGCAGTAGGCTACATTTGTTTTCCCTTGACCCTTAAGCCATAGGCTATAGTCTTACTATAGCACGATGAGTTTTAACAATATGCAACCATTGTATATCGACATGAAATATTAATTGAAAATCAACTGGCGTAGCGGGCCTGTAGCTGCATATTTCTACACGAGAATGCTTTGACGCGCTAACCACAGCTCATGATGCACAAGGGAACGTCTGCCAATTCCACTAACCGCGTTAAAACCACTGATCTATAATGTCATTCTATATAGATCAGTGGTTAAAACGTATAATTTGTTTTAATTCAAATTACTTTTTAAATTTAATAACAGACATTTTCAAATTCCAAAGCTCGTAGAAGGTTTCTGTAAGACTGACTTACAAGTAAAATTTGGACAATACTTCCCTTCATGTAGCCTGTATTCTGCAGAAAAATACTGTAATTCACCAAAAGGGTTTTTTCATGTTCAAAATGGTTGTAGTATGTTCAGTGACTAGACTGGCTTACTACAGGTGAAATTGCCCCAATAACTCCCTTCATGTAGCCTATTTAGTAAACAATTATTATTTTATAAAAAAATTACTGTAATTAACCAAACGGGTTTTTGGTGACTTACTACAAGTGAATAATGTAAAATTTCACCTGACTTGTCACTAGGAACGTACTACAACCTTTGGAACATGAATAGAAAAACAATTTACAGTAAATTAAAAAATTGTAGGCTACTGTTCAATCGAGATATTGGCTGGACATAGTACAGTAACAGTAGGCTAAGTCAGTCTGCCCACTAGACTTCCAAGGTTATAATATAACCTTGGAAATATGTTCATTTGAATGAATGACTGGACGTTTATATTTTTTTGACTGTGAGTGGAGTTTGCAGATGGTCCCTTTATAAAATGAGGCGAATATCAAACTTCACTGCACTCTCGGACCGGTTGCTCTCCCATTCACATGCAAAGTTAAACGCAACTGCAGAATTTTTATTTCATGTTAAGCTTTTTCTTTTTAACAGGCTCGGGAAGGAAAATGTTATTAACTTGAAACGCCGTACATTGCGTTCATGTAGTCTCTTGTCTGTAGGCTATATAGTTTTCCTCCCATAGAGCATATTATAAAGAAAAAGCTTAACGTCAATGCAGTAAGACGGTGATATTTAAAAAAAAGTAGCCAGTGCACCTTACTGAACATGCAACGCGCGATTGCACGTTAAGCGTTTTATAATGGTTTTCTATGGGTGTTGTTCATAATATGACGTAATGTTTGCCTCTATAAAGTATGCTTTATTAATAGGGTAGGCCTATATTATTGTGTACTAAATTTGGTGCTTCAATATCACTCTCATTAAGCGTCTTAAATGCGGAAGAACGCTTGATTATGCTGCCGTTGTCTGTTTTTGCAGAATACTGCCATCTAGTGGTAGCAGCTTTTCTCAGACAGCTGTGTGTGGATCGTGCAAGGCGAAACCCGCGAAATGAAAGTCTCAAAATCCAAATGAATCAAATAGGATCGACTCAGAAACGAGTCAATGAATGCACGCGCGTCACCTGATCCACACATGCACGTCTTCTGTGTTGCATGTGCAAATTATGATACACTAATACAAAGGAAAACATTTGTATTCACAAAAATGTCTCTATTTGTACAAATTGCTTCACATTCATTCAATTTTGAATTTTGCTCACGCAAGTTGAAAGGCATGGATAAAACATTTCTGCAACATGTATCAAGTTCATTGATAAGTGTGCTTGCACGTGTTAATCATTTTGATACTATAATCATCCCATATTTTAACAAAAGCCACTACGTTTCACTCACTCAGACATCGTTTTATTTTATTTATTTATTTTGTTTAGATATATTAAGTGTGAGCTTAGTCATCAAGTTTAATGGCATTTAAATTAATAGAACTTTTTTTATTTAGGCAAAATGTATGACCTTTGTTCAATTTCTATCTTTTCGCAGCTACCTGAAAACTAGCAACAAAACGGACAACATCTGCTATTCTTACTTTTGTCAGATATATGAATGACTGAGAGAGAAAACCATATAGACAGTAAAAGAAAACAAGCTGTTCACAGTCCATTTCGAGAATGAATGGCGATCGCAGCGGGCGGCGGCGCGACCGGAAGTATCGCTGCCCTACTTCATCAAGCATAAGAAACATAAATCAAGCATTCATCCATCCAAACGAACTCGTTTGAAAACCTTTATGTAAACATGTATACACTGACGATCTATAACGTACGGTAAAAAGGTTTTCATTTTAAAAGTGGTTACCGTCGTTGTGAATTACAGGCGCATACTGCGCTTTATAACCTTCGTGAACCGACCACAGATGAGTGTTGTGTGAAAGGACACACAGACACGGTCGGGTTAGGTTAGAGGCGTGCCAAGCACTTCGTGGCACGATCACGAAGTGAACGTCTTTCCTGGCAACTCAACCAACCCTTCTTTTCATTATGTTATCACCACATTTTTTGCACATAGTGCATGACGCAGAACTCAAACTCAAAACTACTCCGTTTTAAAATGGACACATTTATTACACTTTTTGAGAAATGTGAGCATATTCACGGCCTTAAAATTATGAAAAGTGAATTTAAGACACGATCGGACAGTTATGGGGAACCCTGGTATTGACGGACGTTCAATTGGTCATTTCAAGGGGGGTCTCATGAAAACCATCAAAAAATACAGTGGACACGGCTAATAACTGCATATTACTGCTACTTAACAACAAAAACAACACAGCATATCAACTACTTTGTTTTTAATTAATTAATCAATTGCATTTTGCAAACAATATGCTCGAATTTTAATTGCCATAGCCACACCCATGACAGAAAACATATTTACAAAATAGTATCTATTATTGTCATGCTCTCATACCTTTTGCTTGCCCTACTTCTGTCCAGTCTCCTCCTGTCTTCTTCTCTGCCATTTGCCATCACAGGAATAAGTTAATTTTTTTAAATATATTAAAATATAATTATTTTAAATTCCATTATAATATTTGATAATATTACAGGTTTTTTTTATCAAATAAATGCATCCTTGGTGATCCATGAGAGACTTTCAAAAACATAAAAAAATATTACAGACCCCAAACTTTTGAACGGTAATGTATCCAACAGTGTTTAATCTGTATCATAAAACAGATCACCTCATTCCTTTTTTTCAAGCGTCTCTCTGTCTAATCCAGGTCTAATCTTGATGTCTCAGCCATTTGGTAAATTTTGTCTTGTGCCTGCTGAAGTTGTAGCTGTAATTACAGAATTGTCTTGAATCAGGATTGAAATACTTATACTCACAAAAAAAAAAACTAAAGTTTAAAGGGGTTGGTATAATGTCCTTTTCATACGATGTAAAATAAGTCGTTGGTGTCCCCAGAGTGTGTATGTGAAGTTTTAGCTCAAAATAGGCTACCCCACAGATAATTTTATATAGCATGTTAAAATTGAGGAGACTGATATAATGAGTGACCACCAGATGCATGCACACTATGAAAAAAATGACGACAGGCAAAACAAAAAGCCGCGTCTTTTGACACAGGATAGCCTATTCAAGCCACTGGTACTGTTTGAATCACGAGCAACTAAAACCCCTGGATGCTATAGCTGCCCCTGCGATCCAAAAGAACGACGCGGGTATGATTTTAGTTTAGGCTGTCTTGGTTTCTCGGCTGGGCCGCATGGCTTAAATTCCCCGTTAAATCCACTCAGCCGCCAGGATTCCCACCATCCGTGCCCGCTGCAGCGTAGCAGCTCTTGCGGGCTCGCGGGAGCGCCTTGAACGCAATGACGCAAGGCGCAGCGACGTTCATGGGGCGTCGCAG